CACCTCACCTGCACCTCACCTCACCGAGCCAAGGAAAAACAAACAGCTTTGAACCACCACAAGGCTCGTTCTGCATGGGATAAACCAGAGCAGCACCCTCCAGCCTGCCCTGGGGAACACACAGCGCCAATGCACACACCCCAAAAACCCTGATTTCAACCCAAAACCCAGCCCCTGCAGGGATGGTGCTCTGCAGGCCCTGTGTGAGCTGCACTGTGTCTCACATTGCACACAAAGCCCAGCCCCACCAGCAGCGATGAACGGGTGCTGAAGCCACACAGGGACATCACAGACCCACAAAGATGAAATAAAATGGACATCTTCCATCAGAGCAAACATTTCCTTCCTTGCACACAAAGCCCAGCCCCACCAGTGATGAATGGGTGCTGAAGCCACACTTGGGGCTGTCAGGGGCATCACAGACCCAGGAAGATGAAATAAAATGGACATCTTCCCATCAGAGCAAACACTTCCTTCCCATCCACACGGCAGCCCCTTGGTATTTTTTCCCTGAAGGAAAAACAGAAGATGCTTTCCATAAGCAGACGATTTCAGCAGCTAATTTTACCATCACTTATGGTCGACTTTATGACTAAGATTTCATGCTGACTATATTAATCCTGTCAAATTTCAGAGTGAGAGAGAAATGATACTGTATATTTTATGGCTGCAATAACTTCTAAGCCATTAGACATGCATGCTGACATGAAAGTAATCAAATTGATTTTTTCCTATTACAATGAAGAACTTTGTATGAGCAAATAGTCTTTCTGGCACAGGAATGAAACTCCAAGAAGCCTGTGCTCACTCAGGAAATTAGGAAATTGCCACGAGCCATCGTTCAGAAATTCGAGTTTTCTGCTTACTCACATTTTATTGTCACCAAAGCTGAAAGGGACACGTTAGCCAACCAAAGGATCGACAAAAGGCAACGCCAGGGATAATCAGAGGGGTTTGAAGCCCTGTTAAATACTGCAGAAGCTGCAGTTAAATGTTTTCCCAGCGTTAAAGGCTCCCCTGTGCCTTTTTTAACCTCTTCAGACACGTTTTACCCCTCACAGCTCACTGGCCTCTCCTGCAGGTGTTGGGTGGGCAAGGTAAAATGGACCAGGGTAAATTGCTCAGAGGGTTTTTGGCAATTCCACGAGCCCTGGAAGTGCAAATGGACATCCCACAGAGAAATGAGAAAGCCAGAAGGTCAACTGAAATGATTTTTAAATGCAAACAGGTCATTAATTGTAAATTCCACTTGCTTGGTGCCCCGTTGAGCGTTTCAACACCAACTCATCTGTGCACTTCAGCTCTGCCCGCCTAAAATTCCAATTGAAAACCCCAAAATTCCAACTGAAAACCCCAAAATCCCAATTTAAAGCCCCAAAATTCCAACTGAAAACCCCTTAACCCACCTGGGCAGGGCAGGGGCTGTGCAAGCCAGGCCCTGCAGGGATGGGCCAGCAGGGCACACCTGCCAGGTGAAAACCCTGTGGAAACCTGTTTGCTTCCCCTGCTGCGTGAGAACACGCTGGGTGTGAGAGGGCAGGATCACAGAGGCTCAACATCTCCAAAGAGTCAGCAAGCAGAAGCAATTAAGGGCAGATAACACAAATAATGCAGGAGACTCACCCGACACCCTGCGGGCACGGCCACGGCTCCTCTGCAGCCAGCAAAGTGCAAGATTTTCTTTTAGTTTTGGGGTTTTTTTTGTGGAATATTGGTATCAATCATTAAATAGTGTCAGATCTTTCAGACCAAGCCATCTGCACAAAAAAAAACTGGCACAGGAACGTGCTAAAGCTGTCTGAAGGCTCAAAGAGGCAGGGGTGTATATATATACACACATATAGGTACCTATGCCTTGGGTTAGCAAAATAATTACAGTTTTAACATGGATTTATTTCAAATTAAAATGCTTTGGTGGCTCTCTATCAATAGCATTTATTTCTGGTTAAGTTTTCTTTCGGTATTTTTTTTTAAGCAAAAAAGAATTTAGAAATACAAAACCATAAAACCACAACTACACGGACCGCCTCAACCAAGACTTGCAAAACACCAATTTTAGTGAATTCCAATTTTAGTGAATTCCAGTTTCAGTGAATTCCAATTTCAGTGAATCCCTTTTCCTTCCACACCAGATATTTATAAAATATCAGAGCTGCCATGGACAGGGAACCTTCCACTAGACCAGGTTGCTCCACCCAATGCGGCCTTAAAGAAAAACAAAGTTGGGTGTTTTGTTGTTGTTTTGGGGCTTGTTATTATTTGGGGCTTGTTATTATTTGCAGTTTGGGGCTCGTCATTATTTGGGGTTTGGGGCTTTTTTAAGTTACAAAGCCAACAAGCGTAAGAAAGTTTAAAGTAAGTTTTAAGTGATACAAGCGAAGCTCTCCCAACAAAACCAAACCCAAAGCCCACCCCAGCACACTGAGCCCATTAACCAGCACCAACCCCAAGGTCCTTCTGCTGCCCCTGAGGTTCGGGAGGATCCCAGAACATTCCAGAACAAGCCTCACTCAGGATGTGGTGCCCAGAGGAGGACGAGCAGCGAGCCACAAACCCTCCACCACCCCAGCAGGAACCAGCAAACCCTTCCAAGCCAACCCCAAGGAGATCCTGCCCCAAAGTCCTTCCCCACAGCCCAAGTGCTGCGAAGGTGGAGCCTCCCAGGAGGGGCAGAGAACAATATCCATGAGTTTCTCATGACCTTCCCGAGATTGCCATGACAACACCGCTGCCACCCTCCAAACATGGATATATTCATTTGCACTGGTGTGATTGAGAATAATTAGAGTGAGATTCCCTGAGCCAGGGAGTCACAGCTCTGGCAGCAGAGCCCAAGTTTCAAGGGAAGCAGCCTCAAATTTAAATGTAAAAAAGAAAACCGACAACACTCCTCGGAGCCGCGTGACCTAATTCATTATAAAGAATGTCAGTTAGCAAACCTTTTAAATAAAACATTAAGCTAGAGGTAATTTGAAGCCTTGTGGATTTTGTTTTACTCAATTATTTTCTAATGCTTCAACTTCAAGAATAAATATGCAGGAATCAAAAAAAAAAGAAAAAAAAATGAATACTAAGGGTTTCATTTAATTCTTTTTTCAAAAGAAATGAAGACATTCATACTAAACCAAAATACCCTCAACCAAGCTGGATTTTTTAATTAAAACTTTTATGTCCTACAAGATTCTTCAAGGTTATAATATCTGCTCCCACATCATGAGGCAGCATCACGCTCACACAAGGGCAAGCCCAACATCCACGTTGGAACAACCTGTGCTATGCATTGCTGTACCTTATTTCCAGGACATCCACTCACAAATTAAACCAGGCTGGAATGCTATTCCTTCCCTGCCCCATAATTTCCATAACCACTTGCAATTTTCCCTCTGTGGGGAAGGGTTTCCCTGCAGCAGGCTGAGGCAGGGGATGATCACGCTGGCCTCTGCTTTGGTTTTATTAATGCCTGGTGCTAAGAGCAGGGCTGGATGAGGCAGGTGGGGATGGAAAACCTGCAGAAGGGCAGCAGAGGGCAAAAGGCTGGTGATCACAGCTTAAAATGAGATTAATTGCGAAAAGGGGGGGAACAATGGGAATCACAGAATCCTGGAGTGGTTTGGGTTGGAAGGGACATCAAAAACTGATCAAAGCCATGGGCAGGGACCCCTTCCGCTGTCCCAGGGTGCTCCAAGCCCTGGCATTGAACATTTCCAGGGATCCAGGGGCAGCCACAGCTTCTCCTGGAACAACAGGAGAAGTTCTGTGATGAACAGGAACAGTTCTCCTGTGATGAACACTACAAATGCTCTTCTAAGAAATACAAAAAAAAAACCCCAAAAAAAGTAATAAAGAGTCATCCTTTGAAAGAAAAATAAAAAGGAGTTTAGAGCCAAATATTTGATTTGATTTTGGCAGCATCCCCCTTTTTCCAGAGGCTACCAGAAAGAGATTTGCAGGAATGTGCTTAACACCGCTCTGCTACGAGTCCGTGCCGCAAAACATTCCGGAAACAAAGGAACCCAGAAGATAAAAGGATTCTTTTCCGCCACACTGTTCAGAATAAAACACCTCCCTACTCTGGTTCAGCCTTCCTTGCAGTGTTTAAAAAATAAAAAGTCAGATTTTGCCTGTAATTCACCCAGCGGGTCCAGCAGGGATCCCCTGCAGTTCCCATCCTGAGCCCTGGAGATGCCAGGGGAGCAGAGCCAGCTCATGCCACCCCTCACTGCCCCGATTTTCAGGTCACAACCACACCCTGGGGCCACTCTCGGGGTGTTAAAAGTTCTCCGTGTCGCGGAAATAAAGGATTTGGTGCTGGAGGAAGGTGTGAAGGGTGGAACTCACATGGCACATCACACCCGCCCCAGGGCGCCCCTGCCCCTGCACCCAGGGCTCCTTCTCAAGGCAGAAAACTCCGGATAAATCCATTTCTCTGCAGCAGGGAATCAACAAGGATTAGAATTCACCCGTTCATAACAGGGAAACCCTGCAGCTAGAGGTGGAGCCAGGCAGGGCCGGAACATCCAGCCTAAGTTGCTTGACGAATGCTAACTATGACTTCCAGCTTATTTATCTAATTTGGGTTGATTTTTAAATATTGAGTTATCTAACCAGACACAAAAGGAGAGCCTGAAAATTTCCCGTGTTAGTGAAAACTCTCCCTGCTGCTTTAATTCAATCTACATGTCTGAATATTACTGACTTTTCTCAATCACATTTGTATTGAGAAATCAGGAGCTCGTTTTCTCAAAATGGTGTTAAGTGCCTGGAAAACGGGGTTCTGCAGCAAAAGAGCCTCTCCAAAGCTGGCTGAATGCACAGCTTGCAAGCATTTTAGTCATTTACAATATTTATCAGGCTCTATTTTTGTCAATCAATCCATAAGAAGAGCAGAACAGCCAATACCCATAAAACAATCAGCTGGATTTCAGCACAATCTGAGAAAGGGGCAGCTCTGAACTGACACAGCCAGTTTGAAACACACACACACACACAAAAATACATACAGCAGGGATGAAGTCAGTGGCAAAATCCTCAATGGCTTCAGCTGGGCCAGGATTACCTCCAGGAACGTGCTTGGAGAAACACGGGGGAGATGCCAAGGCTGGAAAAGGAGGATGAGGGAAGGTTTTAATGCTCTCCACAACTCCTGACAGGGGAGACAGGCCAGGGAACAGGGTCGGGAGAGAGGGGAGGGCCAGCTTGGACATCAGCAGGAATTTCCCCATGGAAAGGGTGGCCAGGCACTGCCCATCCCTGCAGGTGCCCAAGGAAGGTCTGGATGTGGCACTCGATGCTCTGGGATGGGGCACAGGATGGACCTGATGATTGATTCTCTTTAAATGACTTAATGATTGCTACTTTTGCTCAATGGGATCAATGGTCCCAGAGGTTTTTTTCCAGCCTCAGTGACCCTGTGAAGGCTGCACGGGGCAAAACCACCCATCCCATCCCCACTGGATGGGTCCAGCCCCATGCAGGTTGGTCTGACTGGTCCCAGTGACCCAGAGGGTGACACTGGTGGCACTGGGGGCTCTGTCCCTGTGGGATCCATCCCAGTCCTGTTCCTTGCAGCTGCTGCTGAGCATCCCCACCCCATGGGGCACACCACAGAATTCCAGAGAGCACCAAACAGAACATCAGAGCCTGTCATTGCCATCAGTGCAGACTGGAAACAAAGATCCAAGCACAAAACCCCTGCCTGCCCATCCCTGAACCCACGAGGTACCACTCACTCCCCCCAGCCCCAGCCTGCCTTTAAAATTCAGCCTTTATCAGCTTGAGTTGAGCAAATCCAGTCAAAAGGCAGAAACGGATTGTGCTAGTAAGCAGAAAAACTGTTACATCTTCTGAATGTAATTTTGCCAAAAGCCTCTGCACAATTTTTTTTGTCACGCTTTGCATTATGAAGGAAATTTCTTTTTAGAAGAACAGGAGAATGATTTGCATAATATTCTTTGCAAGTTAATATCAGCCTCTGATAATGATCTCTGCATAATGCAAAAACGTTTGAGAAGACTGTTACAACACTAAGTAATCATATTTTAAATTATGTTTCCCTTTATAGAAAGGTGTTGCAAAAACACACAGACATGAAATCTGTCTGTTGAAGTCCCAAGAACCACCTGACCATCTTCCCACTATTCTACTGTTACAGATTGCAACACTGCCTTTCAAAAATCTTACAAAACAAATTACACTGCAACAGTCTGGCTTCACAGAAGGCAGAGCTTTTTCCTGCGCTGCTGCTCCAGCACTTTACATTTCACAAGAGCCTCTGATGCGCTGCAGGGGTTAAGCAAGGGCCCAGAAACGAAGCTGTAACACCATCAGATGTGGTTATTTAGGTGGGTTGTCCCCTCTCTCACAGCACAGGTGGCAGCACCAGGGCATGCCCTGCCTGCCACCAGGTGGGTGATTCCTGCTCTGGCCCAGCTGCATCTCAGATGGAGCACTGGAATTCAGGCTGTGACACCCCACAGGGATCTCCCCAAAATCCCTGACAGGAACGAGGTGCTGGAGCAGCCAGGAGATCTCTGCTCACAGCATCACTCATGGTAAGCAGGTCAGGAACCAGACATGAAAGCAGAGGAGCAGGAGGAAGCCATTTGTACAACTCTGCTGGATGTGGGTGACTTCCCTCCAAAGGGGGATGTGGGTGGGCAGCTCATGCACTTGGATATTAAATACTTAATATGTCACTGAGCCTTAACAGCCACAGGCAAGTGGTTAAAGCCTGAGCCAAGCCTCCCTGAAGTGCCAGGAACAGAGGGAGGTTCCCGAGACAGGAGGAGGTGGAATCAGGAGTGGGATGAGGGCATTGGGACCAAACGCACAAATGATGGAGCTCAGATCTGGGGTGGAGCATGGAGCAGGACCCAGGGGGTGGGCAGCGCTCCCGAGGGCAGTGCCAGCAGCAGAGAGTGTCCCAGAGAGCCACAGTGCCCATGGCAGCCCCAGGAGCACAGTGGGCAGCAGCTCAGTCAGTGCCACCCACGCCTGTCACACACACAACAGGGCAGCATTCAGCCTCTGCCGTGGGTGGTTCTTGTCCCACCTACTAAACCAAGCCTAAAATTCAAATACCAGATCTGAGCAGGCAAGGCAAGGAGGAAAAATCCTCTGGGATGTCAGTCTGGGCTCGCTGAGGCAGCTCAAGCACTGCCCTGGCTATGGAGCCATCCCAGAGCCATGAGATCATTCCTTGGTAACTTGGGGAGTTTGTCCAACACATGGACCTGAGAACAATCCCTCACCCCATCCCATCTCCCCCTTCCATACCTTTCCAAACAGGTTCCAAGCAGCTCCTGGCTACACCTCATCCCAGGCTCCCTCAGATGGGCTTGCAAGCACTGGGAGGTTGGTTGGGTTTTCCTCCAAAAACCGCCAGCAAATCTCTCCCTTTTTCCCCCAAACTGACACATCCATCCATGGTGGTGGGTGGCACCACCAGACACAATTCTAAGCTCCCAACCCAGCTGCTGTCACCTGGGCAGCCATCACCTGGGCAGCAGGAGGGAAAACTCCTCCCAGTAAACACCAGAGCTCCCAGCACATGCACTGGGGCGGGCACAGGGTGTGGGAACCACCTGCCCCAAACATTTCCATTGCTAATGCTGCACCCTGGGTCTCACACAGCATTCCTGAGGCGCCCAGGAGAGGTCAGGAGCAGGCTGCAGGGCGGGGAGGGGACACCAAAGCGGCCAAACAGCCGCAATCCCTCAGGCACAGCCAGGGGAGGCTGCAGGAGCACCCAGCACCACTTGTGATGCTTCATAAATGCACTGCAATTGAACTGTGCTTCCAGGATTTCTGTGGGGGAAAACCACCTGGGAGGAGTGAAAAATAACCAAGAAATCATGACTCTCACTCTACAGAACCTCACAGAAGAGTGGTAAAAGCCACTGGAATATTTCTGTTTAAAATCACCCGCAACACTTTGCACTGTGGACATCACTGTGTGCCACTGGAGCTCTCTGGGTTTTCAGGATGGTCAAGCAAAGAATTTCAGCTCAGGGCTCTGCCAGGCTGTGCTGGGGGGACAGCCTGGAGCAGACACACACAGGCTGCAGCTTCTCCTGGTTCCTCCACCCCCTCCAGGCTGCGCTGCCCTCCCGTCCCCCTGCAAAGAGTTAAGTCCTCCCTCCTGCATCATTTCTCCTGCCAAATGCAGATTAGTCAGCAACTACTGCAGGATACACCTCTCCTAAGGCACTCATGAACAAAGCAACAGCCAGCTTGGGACCTGAAAGGGAAGGTAAATGAGGAAACTTCCTAAACTCGATTGCAGAAATATTCATGAAGGTACCCCAGGCTCAGGTACCTCCAGCTGCTCTGCTGAAGCTCCCACTGGCTCCCAAGGGAATGCAGAGGTGGGATGGACACTAAATCAGTGCTGCAAGCCGGAATTGGAACCCACCAGAGCATCTGAAACCACCCAGAGCCAAACCCTCACTGCTGACCCCAGAGCAAACCTTGGGATGGAGGCAAACCAGAGCACTGCAAGGACCCTGGGCTCCATCCACATTTTCACAGACACACAAAGAAACCAAACACCCAGCAGTCATCTGAAAGGCCAGTTATTAGATCACTCGAAATGAGCTGAAATGAAATTCCCACAGGTTTTATTGGACTACTGAGATATTGATTCTGGTGCGTGCTTCTCACTCAGCCTGCAGCACAGAAATTCACCCTGCTAGAAATCCCACCTGTGTGCTGGGCCAGAAAATTCACTGGGAATGTCCAGGGCTCCCTTTTCCTGAGCCTAAACTTTCCCTTCCCCTAAGGACATTTAACTTGGTTGTCACAAATGCTGCTGGTTTCACCCAAAGGCACAAAGCACCCCCTGGTGCAGAATACACCCCCAGTTCATCTGACCAGCTGAGCTGGGACAAGGATGGCTCCCACATCCCTGCCCTTATTTGACAATTTTGGATCCCCATCCCCAATTCTCTCCGGTTATAAATTCACGCGATGCCTCGACAGCAAAACAACACCGCCATAAATTATTATATTTTTTCCCTACCCACATAAAAAGGGAGCTAAACAATTAAAGCCCAGGCTGTGCTGTGTGTGCAGAGGCACTGCAGAGCTCCAAGGAGGCCTTGCCCAGCCGGGGTGCCCAGGGCTGGTCCCTGTGATGAGGTGCCAGCAGCACGCTCTGTGCTGCACAGCTCAGTGCCCATGGCATGAACCAGCCCCAGGCCTCTGCCAGCCCAGAGCTCTGCTGCTCTGTTCACCCCAAACCAGGGTTCTGCTGCTGTGTTCACCCCAAACCAGAGCTCTGCTCTGTTCACCCCAAACCAGGGTTCTGCTGCTGTGTTCACCCCAAACCAGAGCTCTGCTGCTCAATCCAGCCCAAAGCTCTGCTGTTCTGCTCACCCCAAACCAGGGTTCTGCTGCTCTGCTCACCCCAAACCAGAGCTCTGCTGCTCTGCTCACCCCAAACCAGGGTTCTGCTGCTGTGTTCACCTCAAACCAGAGTTCTGCTCTGTTCACCCCAAACCAGGGTTCTGCTGCTGTGTTCACCTCAAACCAGAGTTCTGCTCTGTTCACCCCAAACCAGGGTTCTGCTGCTCTGCTCACCCCAAACCAGAGCTCTGCTCTGTTCACCCCAAACCAGGGTTCTGCTCTGCTCACCCCAAACCAGGGTTCTGCTGCTCAATCCAGCCCAGAGCTCTGCTGCTGTGTTCACCCCAAACCAGGGTTCTGCTGCTCTGTTCACCTCAAACCAGGGTTCTGCTGCTGTGTTCTCCCCAAAGCAGAGTTCTGCTGCTCTGCTCACCCCAATCCAGAGTTCTGCTCTGCTCTCCCCAGCCCAGAGTTCTCCTGCTCTGTTCTCCCCAAAATTCTCCTGCTCTGCTCTCCTCATCCCAGAGTTCTGTTCTCTCCAGCCCAGGATTCTCCTGCTCTCCCCAGCCCAGAGTTCTCCTGCTCTGCTCACCCCAACCCAGAGTTCTCCTGCTCTGTTCTCCCCAGAGTTCTCCTGCTCTGCTCTCTCCATCCTAGAGTTCTCCTCCTCTCCCCAACCCAGACTTCTCCTGCTGGGAGGCAGCAGCTCTGCGGCTTGCACAAATCTGCTCAGCTTTTTGCTTTTTTTTTTTT